TCTTAAAAATTGTTGCAACCTGAACAAAGAATTTCAAGTGAAAAATAAATGGCCAGAGAAGTGGAAAAACTAGGAAAAATTAGGCCTCAACTCAGATACCAGCTTCTGTTAAGCAGCTCATAGACCTTCATGTCTTGGTTGAAGCAGCATTTTGTAAACACACTATCCAAACTGCGTGGGTGCTGAGGATGCTGTAAGACTGAATGTGTTCTCCATAACTATTCACATATTTATTCATTCCTTTCATTCCTTTTGGAATTCAAAACTGCCTGATTCTATAATCAGTAAACGTTATAAAACTGAACTTATAACTTACATTCATACTAGTAAAATACCACTTCTAACAGACTTTTTTACATTGGAGTCCCACTGCTACGAAAATTTGAAAATCACTGGACCAGGAGATTCCTAAAGCCTCTACGCAATCCCAGAAACCAAGAGTACTAGGGATGTCAGGTAGCAATCCAGGTTCCCAAGAAGGAAGCAGTAATTATTCACGCAGAATGCACAGATAAAGTCTAGAAATTCATGGCATGAGGTTTTTTTTTTTTTTTTGGCCACGCCGTGTGGCTTGTGAGATTTTAGTTTCTCAACCAGGGATCGAACCTGGGCCCTCCGCAGTGACAGTGGACTGCCAGGGAATTCCCCATAGCACAAATACTGTTGGAACTGTGTGAAATGTCTGAAGACAAAAAGAGTATGCAAAAATACAGTTGGGGTCTTCCCTGGTGGCGCAGTGGTTGAGACTCCGCCTGCCGATGCAGGGGACGCGGGTCCGTGCCCCGGTCCGGAGAGCGGCTGGGCCCGTGAGCCATGGCCGCTGAGCCTGTGCGTCCAGAGCCTGTGCTCCGCAACGGGAGAGGCCACAACAGTGAGAGGCCCGTGTACCGCAAAAAAAAAAAATACAGTTGGTGGTGGTACTGAAGTTGAGGTACTGTAAGTTGTTTTCCAAACTTTTTGTGATGTTATTTTGTTTTTATAATAAACCAGTAAGAAATCATGGCAGAATTGAAAGATCAGAAGTTGCTAATATGTAATATCATTTAATATGTCTGAATATAACTGGTTTTTAATTATAATTCAGCTACGTACTTCAAGGAGGAAGGGAAATTTAGAAATTCAAAGTTGTGAAATATTGCTGAGAAGTATAAAGATATAAAAAATAGCTTATTATTTATTTATTTATTTATTTAATTTTTTTTTTTTTTTT